CCCCAATTAAAATTTAGATAAAAAGTTAAAAACACCCCCAATTAAAATATGGATAAAAATTTAAAACATCCCCAATTAAAATTTGAATAAAAGATACAAACATCCCCAATTAAAATTTGGATAAAAACTTAAAACATCACCAATTAAAATTTGAATAAAAGATAAAAACATCCCCAATTAAAATTTGGATAAAAATTTAAAACATCCCCAATCAAAATTTGAATAAAAGTTAAAAACACCTCCAATTAAAATATGGATAAAAATTTAAAACATCCCCAATTACAATTTGAATAAAAGATAAAAACATCCCCAATTAAAATATGGATAAAAAGATAAAAACATCCCCAATAAAAATTGGATTAAAAGATAAAAACATCCCCAATTAAAATTAAGATAAAAAGTTAAAAACACCCCCAATTAAAATATGGATAAAAATTTAAAACATCCCCAATTAAAATTTAGATAAAAAGTTAAAAACACCCCCAATTAAAATATGGATAAAAATTTAAAACATCCCCTATTATATAAAAATTTAAAACATCCCCAATTAAAATTTGAATAAAAATTTAAAACATCCCCAATTAAAATTTGAATAAAAGATAAAAACATCCCCAATTAAAATTTAGATAAAAAGTTAAAAACACCCCCAATTAAAATATGGATAAAAATTTAAAACATCCCCAATTAAAATTTGAATAAAAGATAAAAACATCCCCAATTAAAATTTGGATAAAAATTTTAAACATCCCCAATTAAAATTTGAATAAAAGATAAAAACATCCCCAATTAAAATATGGATAAAATTGTAAACATCCCCAATTAAAATTTGAATAAAAGTTAAAAACACCCCCAATTAAAATATGGATAAAAATTTAAAACATCCCCAATTAAAATTTGAATAAAAGATAAAAACATCCCCAATTAAAATATGGATAAAATTTTAAACATCCCCAATTAAAATTTGAATAAAAGTTAAAAACACCCCCAATTAAAATATGGATAAAAATTTAAAACATCCCCAATTAAAATTTGAATAAAAGATAAAAACATCCCCAATTAAAATATGGATAAAATTTTAAACATCCCCAATTAAAATTTGAATAAAAGTTAAAAACACCCCCAATTAAAATATGGATAAAAATTTAAAACATCCCCAATTAAAATTTGAATAAAAGATAAAAACATCTCCAATTAAAATTTGGATAAAAAGTTAAAACATCCCCAATTAAAATTTGAATAAAAGATAAAAACATCCCCAATTAAAATATGGATAAAAAGATAAAAACATCCCCAATAAAAATTTGAATAAAAGATAAAAACATCCCCAATAAAAATTGGATTAAAAGATAAAAACATTCCCAATTAAAATATGGATAAAAAGATAAAAACGGTCGCAGTCTGACCAAGTCACCCTTGGTCACGGTCCAACTGAGTGATCGATCTCACTCAGTTCATGCATGGTACTATGGAAAAAGTTTAGACCACGACTTGGGTCGCAGTCTGACCAAGTCACCCTTGGTCTGACGGTCAGGGTCCAACTGAGTGATCTATCTCCCTCAGTTCATACCAGTACTAGCAGATACTTGATATGTATGGCGGGGACGTTACTATACCTAAATGGGAGGTATAGTATCTGTGAACCCTAAACACAGATGGCAACTTAACTTCCCATACATGTAATCAAGTATCCAATGCTATTACTGTTATTGTTATATTATGTTTATAAAATAACTAATGAAAAACCTACCACAATAATAAGATAAAAACATTGCATCCAAGTTTCCTGTGGCAAGAAGTGAAATATTTTTTTTTATACAAGTTCAAATGTACTAAGTAGTCCAGTTTTAGTTGGTTTCCTTGAAGGTTTTCAAATGGCTCCAAGAAGATGTCACCTTTTGGGTAAATACAATGTGACAGTAACTCAACAATAGAGTAAAACCAAAAAAAAGCTATGAAAATGTCAAAGTACAGTCTTTCCCAATAAACGATAATAACTAATGGTATCTTATTCTTTTTGCCTTGCAAGTCTTTGCATGAAAAATGTCACATTTATGTCATACAAATGCTAGTCAGATTACCTCCACATAGCTTTGAAATAACTATCAAATGTTGATTATTGTCTAATGACAATGTACCTTCATTTTAAAGGATACTGTGCATAAAACATAACCGGTCCTGATATTCTTGATCCGAGGTTACACAAGGGTCAGATGACAGACAGTGTTATTACTATATACTTAAGTAGTACAAATTAGTAGGTACTTATTTCATGATGTAGGTGTTAAAAACTACAGGTCACTGTAAGCAAGTTGTAAGAGGCGCCAATATAACAAAACATGATACAATTTCAAATGCAGAAACCATTATGGCCTGATCTATGTAAAAAAACAAGCGAAAAAAAAACAATTCGAAATGATTACCATTGAATTAAATGTGAACCTCAAAATCGACAGGAATCGCCATACCCCAGAACATAATTCAGCAGATGGAGAGTTGTCTTATTGGTACTCATACCACATCTTCTTATATCTATAGAATCACTATACCTAAAATATTATTCTGAAGGGATAAATATAACCAGAAATATTATTACAAGCAAATACCAGCTTTTAGTCTTGTGTGGTCTGACCCAGCCAGGGATTTAAACTCAAAACTCTTCCTCACAAAATAACTGAAACAAGATTATTTCTAAAAAGCGGAACAAAATATTATTTTAATAATATATAAAAGAAACATAAAAAAGTTCAAATAAATGTTATTTATTAAAATGAGAAATGATTTATGTAGCAATCACCTTATATAATACTGCTACTTATGACATAAGAATATGGCAATATTGAAAAAAAATACACCCTGCTTAAAAAAAAACTCATACATTGTAGGGAAGAATCATAGGTGTTTAAATGTTACAGAAATTTCAACTTTACAATTGTTATGAACTAGCAAACAGGGAAATTAGGTCATGTTATTCCACTTGATAATAGTAAGTAAAACAAATAATAATATATTACATTTTTTGAGACTACTAAACATACAAGTAAAACAATACTAGCATTCTATAAAATATACTATTCCTTCTAATGCATTATGAAATACTATTTGACATTTCTTTTAAACTATTGCAAAAGAATTCACTTACTAAAATCAAGAGGAGAAAATGTTCAATTTCATGGACAGGGTTTTAAATATTATTTTAAAGCTAAGAAAAAATTTACGAAGTCACAGGATTTACCATTAAATTTAAAAACAAGTTAAATCTTCTTTTCTACAAAAAACAAGAGTTGTCTCCTATTTGCATTAGCCTTATCATGAAATACTGTTACCAAAAGTACCTACAAATATGGGAGATAACTCATTAAACTTAAAAATTAAGTCATAATTGGGAGGAAGGGGCATTTAATATCAGATAATATTGAGAATGGAAGCACTTTTGTAGATGATGATGACGTAAATATAACTTGAAATCCCAATGTCACACCAATCCACTTAAATTGCATTATCTAGACCTGTTTACAAGCCGATTTTATTTACAGAGCTCTAAATAATACTGTCATCTTACTTTATTTACATCTTATATAGCATATCTAACAAAAAATATATAACAATTATATATAAAACTAATACATTCGAATTTATTGCAGGCCTTCCATGCAGTGAACAATTTAACTAGCTCATATGAAGAGATAAACAAGTGTATTCCCTCCCCTTAACCCTAAAACCCAGCCTGCTAGTTTCCATTCCTCACAACTTATGCTCAGTTTGTTAAATTTAAAAACAAGTTAAATCTTCTATTTGCATTAGCCTTATCAGGAAATATCAAAATATCATAAACTGTTATCACAGAGATATGTCTCGCCTTTTTGTAATTTTGATTATGCAAATGTTGAAATCAAAATAGCAATACTTTAACATCTTACACAAGTTATGCAAATATTCAAAGTCAATGAACCATGACTGAGTTACATGGCTAAACAATCTCCATGTAAATGAGATGTGCCAATGCTAATACAACTGCATACCAAATACCATTGACTTATTATGAGTCATTCCCAAACCTAAATACAAATTAACTTGTAAACTATGTAAAAGTTTCAAAGTCAATGAACCATGAAGAGGGGTTGGGGCTATATAATCTCCATGGAAACGATACTTGCAAATGCCAATAAATTGCATACCAAATATCATTGACTTAACATTAGCAGTTCATCTTAAACTGATCTAATCACAAACTTAATACATATAAACTAAGATAAGTTTCAAAGTCATTAGACTGTGACTGAGGGACGAGGCCAAAAAATTCTCCATGGAAATGAGATGTGCCAATGCTTATACAACTGATTACCAATTAACATTGGCCTACCACTAATCGTTCCCCTTGAACTGACCTAATCACAAACTAATACATGACAACTAAGAAAAATTTTCAAAGTCAATAGACCATGACTAAGGGGGAGGAGCCAAATTATCTCCATAGAAATGAGATATGGCAATGTTTAAACAACTGCATACCAAATATCATTGACCTACCACTTGTTGTTCCCCATAAAATGACCTAATCACAAACTAATACATGTAAAATAAGCAAAAGTTTCGAAGTCAATAGACCATGACTGATGGGGCAGGGCGAAATAATCTCGATGGAAATAAGATGTGCCAATGCTTATACAACTGCATACCAAATATGATTGACATACCACTTGTGGTTCACCATAAACTAGACCTAATCACAAACTAATACATTGTTGACGCCATGGCCGCCGCCGGAAACAGCTAGCATACCTATGTCTTGCATTTTGACTCCGTCAAGGCGAGACAAAAAGTACCTACAAATATGGGAGATAACTCATTAAACTCTAGGAGTAGTTATCTAGAATAGCTGTGAATTGGATGGAGAGTTGTCTCATTGTCACCAATTTCACATCTTCTTATATCTATATACCTATAACAGGATGATAGAGCGCAAGGGCAGGAGTAAAACAATATGCCCCCCCCCCCCCCAACTGAAAGGGCATAAAAATAGATTTAAACCAATGGCAGCTGATTGTTCTCACAAGTCACATCAAAGTCTTACATTAAACACATAGTACATGTATTAACTAAGACCATTTAGGGGGGAACTGTAGGCCTATGAAATTTGAATGTAATCAACATATCTGGTTTAAAAGAATAAATCTTTACAACTGGCTCTCCCCCCTCTTTCTATCTCTCTCTTTAAACATAATTGTATTACTACATATTTTTTTTGTCAACAAGTGTTTCCAAATTCCTCAGATCAACAGAATCCATTCTTCTGCTTCAGTTGATTTCTAAATTAACAAGCACGCTTTGTCTACAAATAGAAAATAAAATTTCATTCAAAACATAAACTAAAATTCACAAAATAATATATATAATGTTGATGTCAGAAGATATTTACATTTTATCCATATATGGGGTAACCAGGAGACAGAGGCTAAAGAAATTCTTCATATAAAGCAGTTCAGAATTGTATTAAATCTTATGACATCTTAAGTATGAAATGCCACCATTGTACTTACATTTTACTTCAGATTTGTTTAAAATAAACATGTCAATTTTTTCAGGCACCATGGATTAAAAATTTTCATTTAACCAAAGATTTGATGGATAAGGACAATATGCGTTCAAACTAGTTTAACCCTGCCACACTCTGTATGTGCCTGTAATTCAGTGGTTAATGTTTGTTGCTGTGGTTAATGTTTGTTGCTGTGTTACATATTTGTTTTGTTCATTATTTTGGACATGAATTAGGCAGTTTTTTTTCTCGATGGAATTTTTTTACAATTTTCATTTTTTGGCCCATTTATATCTGACTATGTGGTATGGGTTTTACTCATTTTTGAAGGCAGAATTGTGACCTATAGCTGTTAATTTATATGTCATTTGGTTTCTTGTGGAGAGTTTTCAAAATTGTAATCATACCACATCTTCATATTTTTATATCTGTAATTAGGTATTGTATTATTATAGAAGCAATAAACTAGAACCGTTCATTATCTTTAATGTTATCTTGAAACAAGGATTTAATGTAACCGTCAACATACATACCTTAAAGTTGGTATTATTTTACATCCAGATCCTACTTTCCTTCGATTTTCCTTCACTAAATCATTTACGTGTTTTCAAAATATCCAGGATAACTGAAAAAAAATTGAATCCATCAACTGTGATAGTTTTAAACACTTATTGAAGGCCGTATGTTGACCAATAGTTGTTAACTTATATATCTTTTAGTCTCTGGTGGAGTCAGTTGTCTCATTGGCAATTATACCACATCTTATTTCGATATCTATACATGTATATGGAATTTAGTCAATTAATCAACATCTAATCATAGCAGTTAATACAGATAAATTAGATACAATATTGCTAAAGTGACATATAGGTCCAATGGGCCAGGTGTAAATATCAAATTGCTATGTATATACATGTAATTGTTTAGATGTATGTTATGATACACATGTCACTATAAAAAATAATAACTTATAACTTACTTATACATAACATTTTATCTAATAAATATACATGTATATTATCATGGCGTAATAATACTTCTTAATTTACTAGGCTAATTCTCGTGATTTTTTATAGTTTTTTATTTTTAGTTTATGCATGATTTTTTTTTCAACCTATGAATTCTTATTTGTAATACATATTTTGGTCATAACTGTTGTGACCTGTGGAGCAGGAACTGTGTACCCTTCCTATTCTTTCAGGAGCACCATTGTTAAAATTCTCCATTTTGTTGGGTTGATATTAGGGGTCATCCATAATTGTCAACCATTTTCCAAAGTGTACAAAACATACACTTTTTGAGACCCCCCTACCCTCCCTTAAAAAGTGTACATCAACCATTTTCAGAATTCAAGACAAGATTCAATCATTCTTAAAAAAAATTAAGATCAAGTCTATTATAGTTTAGTTTAATATAGAAATTTGCATTGAAAATAAATTAAAACATATCTGACTGTTTTATTTGATAAATAAAAAAAAGCGTACTTTAAAAATGTTGATTTTTTTAACCCCCTCCCCCCCCCCCCCCCCCCAAATGTACGTTTTGTACACTTTGGAAAATGGTTGACAATTATGAATGACCCCTTACTCAATCTGGTTTTCTAGTTAGTGTCAGATTGCTCCCTTAGAAATTTATCCCTTTTCTACACTAAAACAGAATATCAATGAATATTTTTGGTGCTCCATGTTAATTATCTTGTGGACTTACGTAATACTATATCCAGACATGAATTTATACATCAAAATCATAACTACTCAAATGAAATGACTAGAAATCTACTATATGTACCTTATGCATATTTACCTAGTCTTTTGAATGTTAAAGCTTCATGCAGATCCGGTTGTGATGTTCCTCATCTGGGAGATTAATTGGTATATAATCATTCTTCCTTTTTACAAGGATAGGTTGTTGGCATATCTCTCAATCCCAAACCTTGAGAACCAGAGAATCTTTACTCAAGCTTTATTTCCTTTAGATCAATTGTAGACCAAGGCTGACGAGTCAAATCTACCAAAAATTTCATATCAGAGTTTTCTTCTCCTAGACATCCTTTCAAGGCTGATGACCATCATTCAGCCGGCTATTTAACCCATAACTGGGGCAAGGTTGATGAGTGCTAGTGATGTTCGTACGTCGATCGGCCTACACACTTCATCTCTAGGGTCCTTGCTACTCCGAGATCCTCTACAGTTAAGCCTAGGACACTAGATCCTAGTTACCATGTGCTGTCACGGGGAGGCACTGTAGAAGTCTTGTTAGTGTAGAGGCTATGTACTGGAAGGAAAGACTTACACACTCAGCTTTCTTTTCACCTATGAATATAAGCTATCCAGCGGCAGTGTAAGAGTCTATGACTCCCAACCACACTAGACGCATACACAAACCTGTGGTAACACCACCAGCACACAAAAAAAAAGGGGTCATTATTTCAAATTTAGAAAAAAGAAGGTTATTTATTTAAATTTAGAAAAAGAAATGGTTATTTATTCAAATTTAAAAAAAGAAATGGTTATTTATTCAAATTTAATAAAAATGAAGGTTTATCTATTTATAATTTTAAAAAAGGAAGGATTATTTATTTAAATTTTGAAAAAGGAAGGTTTATTTATTTAAATTTAGAAAAAGGAATGGTTATTTATATAAAAACTATAAAAGGAATTATTTATTTAAAATCCAGAAAAGAAAGTGTTATTTATTTTAATCCAGAAAAGAAAGTGTTATTTATTTAAATTCAGAAAAGAAAGAATTATTTATTTAAAATCCAGAAAAGAAAGTGTTATTTATTTTAATCCAAAAAAGAAAGTGTTATTTATTTAAATTCAGAAAATAAAGTGTTATTTATTTAAAATCCAGAAAACAAAGTGTTATTTATTTAAATTCAGAAAAGAAAGTGTTATTTATTTAAATTCAGAAAAGAAAGCGTTATTTATTTAAAATCCAGAAAAGAAAGTGTTATTTAAATTCAGAAAAGGGAAGTGTTCATTATTTTGAAATTTATAATGCATTTCATCCAAAAGTACAGGGTTATTTGTACTTCACAAACTTTAAAGCAACTAAACAGTATCAGAAAGTGTGAAATTACAACACCAACACATTACTTACTTCCCCTCCTTACCCAGCAACTTCATCTCTATTACACTAGGCCATGGGGTAGCCCTCCCTGACCTCCAAGCCCTTAAATACACTGGACTCTCATGGGTTAACCCTCCCCGACCCCAAGCCCTTAAAAACAAGTCCCTGGATTCCCATGGGGTAACCCTCCCTGACCCCAAAACCCTTAAAAACAAGTCCCTGGACTCCCATGGGGTAACCCTCCCCGACCCCAAACCCTTAAAAAAAAGTCTCTGGACTCCCATGGGGTAACCCTCCCCGACCCCCAATCCCTTAAAACAAGTCCCTGGACTCCCATGGGGTAACCCTTCCCGACCCCCATCCCTTAAAAACAAGTCCCTGGACTCCCATGGGGTAACCCTCCCTGACCCCAATCCCTTAAAAACAAGTCCCTGGACTCCCATGGGGTAACCCTCCCCGACCCCCATCCCTTAAAAACAAGATCCTGGACTCCCATGGGGTAATCCTCCCTGACCCCCAATCCCATAAAAACAAAGTCCCTGGACTCCCATGGGGTAACCCTCCCTGACCCCCAAGCCCTTAAAAACAAGTCCTTGGACCCCCATGGGATAATCCTCCCCGACCCCCATGACCTTAAAAATAAGTCCCTGGACTTGTTTTGGGTTAATTATCCCCTACCCCCTTGCCCTTAAATACAAGTGCCTGGAGTCTCACTCTCCCTTTCATCAGACCCCTAGGCTTCTCCTCCAAGACCTCTGAGCTCTTAAATTCCAGTTCCTGGACGTTGCCTCATGATCATTCCACCCAACCTGCTCCAAAGCTGAGTCCCAGGTCAACTATATATAAAGCTGTTGCTATGTGGGGCGAGGGGATAATTAAAGAAAAACGAAGAAGAAAACATCAGCAAGCCAGTATAAACTTTACCTTTTATTCTATCCATACAGTGTTAATGGTTGTGGGTGTCATGCTAAGTGAACGTGCTTGGGTATTGTGATTGGGTATCGTGATTGGGTATTGTGATTGGGTATTGTGATTGGGAATTGTGATTAGGTATCGTGATGGGGTATAGTGATTGGGTTTTGTGATTGGGTATCGTGATTGGGTATCGTGATTGGGTTTTGTGATTGGGTTTCATGTCTAGTTTATAGGTAATGTTCTACTGACTTGCTAGTGTTCAATTTTTAAACATTTTAAAAAAAAGTAAGTAATGTATTCATGTTGCAATCATACCCTTTAATAATGCAGTATTGTTAAATTCAAGTTGTTGGAAGTCCAAATCTCAGTGAAACACTGAAAATTAAAATTTTCAAACTAATTTAGTTTAATTGTGAGCTAAATTTTGATATCTAAATTTAGGAAATGGAATGGTTATTTATTCAAATTTGGAAAAAATGAACAGTTATTTATTTTAATTCAGAAAAAGATAATTACTTAGTTATGTCTTTAAAAAAGCATTTTTACTCTTTATCAACAATTACATGGATATATTTTAATGCTTCTTTAATAAATTTTAGTGATTTGTTTGAAATTTAATAAAAAAAAAAATTAAAAATTGCCAAATTTTGTTTTGAAATCTAACAAATTTTGTTTTTATCGTTAAAATTAAATAAATTTTGGTGATTTTGTTTAAAATTTAATAAATTTTGATGTTTTTATTCAAAATATTTAAAAGGAAAGTTCCCGTGAAAATAATGTATCCATTACTTCCATCACGACATAATTCAATTCCGCCTTCCCATGAAAATAATGTATCCATTACTTCATCACGATATAATTCAATTCCGCCTTCCCATGAAAATAATGTATCCATTACTTTACACGATATAATTCAATTCCACCTTCCCATGAAAATAATGTATCCATTACTTCATCACGACATAATTCAATTCCGCCTTCCCATGAAAATAATGTATCCATTACTTCATCACGATATAATTCAAAATCCTGATGATGTTCTGTGTTTCTCAACCACTATCCAGTCTATCAGAAACATTCTGAAATTAAACTGAAGAAAGGATTAAAATACCTGAAAAAAAACTATTAATTATTATACATATTTATTACAGTTTTTTTTTTTTTTTTTTTTTTTTTTTATATTTTTTTTTTTTTTTTTTTTTTTTTTATATAAAAGTAGAATGTTTGTCACCACCAAATTATCAGAGACCATCTTTCCAACACATTACTTCAATTTAAAATTAAATATATTGCAGGTTACTTTTGATATTAATTAACAAACATGAAATAATAAAAACGAGTTTTATGTTATTTTTTTTTCACAAATCTGCAATGTTTTGTGTTTGAATCAGTCCCAATAAAATATCTCAATGAAATGTTACTTTCAGCTTTCAGGAAAAAAACTACAGACCAAAATATTAAAAAAGTATAGATTTTTGCATAAAATACCAAGTAATGTGAGGAAACCAATCGTATGCAGGAAAAGCTCAGTTGTAGTGACATTTATTCTCAGTATTACTAGTGACAGATAAGTACTGAAACTTGTACTAACAAGAGATCTAAACACCTCTACAACTATAACCTTCACTGGACAATTGTAAGTTCTTAAATAAAACAAGTATGGACGTCATGCAGTCAGATAAAGCAGAGGTATCTACTGCGCCAACTGTAGGGAAAAATGATTTTTTACCAGTGTATATGTCATTATGTTTTACTTTACTGTACTGTCAACTCCAAGAACTTTTTTTTGTTGGTGACTGTCATATTTCTTTGCTTGTGTGAATTTTTTGATTGTGAATTTTTTGATTGTGAATTTTTTGTGTGTGAATTTTTTGTGTGTGAATTTTTAGTGTGTGAATTTTTAAGTCAGTTGTGTTGTATGTTTACACAGTTTTGGCTCCTCCGTCGTAATTATTGTAATGTTAACCAATTATGTCAATAAAAAGAAACAAGTAAGGCAAATACCACTGGTTTTCAATTTGTTCAGGTCGTCATCATGGAGTGGACCATTTGACTTAACCAGGCTTTATAGATTCCCCCTTTTTGAATTTACCATGAAGTCTATGTAAATAGATATGGCACTATGGGATGATTTTTAAGGTCATATTCAAAGAGGAGACCCTCAAGGTTGATCAAGGATGTCAAGGTCAGAGTCATGCCCTTCAGAACGATGTTCATAATACAGCATCTATACTAAAATAAAAACCTATAAATAACTGGTCTGAAGAAAAAGTTATGAAAATTAAAAAAAAAAAATTATGAAAGCTAAAGACAAAACAAAAATTGAATAAATTCATTAATATTGACTTTAAAATCTACTGGAACAGTTATACATCTAATCTGACTCTAAATTTGACATTAACCAATTTTTCTTTAAATAGTAAATTTTTCCTAGCTCAGAAATACCAAACTGTTCTGAAAATTACTAGAATTATAAACATTCCTAAATAACTTCCCTCCACAGAACAGTACACAATACCCTTAAGATATCTGTCTCTCTGCTCTCTATTATTATCTCATTCATTCATTCATTCATTCATTTATTCACACATCTTCCAGACAACCTATTTAGGAAGTATCATGTTAGTTATCCCACCCAGGTTAGTTCTTGATACTTTGTGAATAAAATGGTTTTATATTGATGTACTAGACATGGAGGGATGATTAAACAAGAAGTTTCATTTACCAGGTTTCCAGGTGTAAGGTGCATTAAGAGCTAATTAAGAAAGGTGTTATTTTATTTTACATTTTACAAAATAGTTTAGAAAAAAACCAAATAAAAATAAGTCATGTTTATCAAAAAGAAAAAGATATTGTAAGATGGCAACATAACTGGTAGAACATAAACATCTGACCTTTCTAAACCTTATCTCTAAGACCTTGGCAATTTGAGACTTTTCTGATCTCAATCATTTACTCATTCATTTCAGTTGTACATTGTCACTACATCTTCTATATAGTTTTTTTCCCACAAAACAGATCTCGTCTTGCTGATAATTTGTAAATTCTTTTATAATTCAAATTTTTCTCTCTCTATAATATAGTTTTTATTCTATCTATCTCTATAATATAGTTTTTATTCTATCTCTCTATAATATAGTTTTTATTCCATCTATCTCTATAATATGGTTTTTATTCTATCTCTCTATAATATAGTTTTTATTTTATCTCTCTATAATATAGTTTTTATTCTATCTCTCTATAATATAGTTTTTATTCTATCTATTTATAATTTATAGTTTATTCTATCTATTTATAATTCATAGTTTTTTGTATCTATAAATAGTATATGTCCAAAATATGGTAAAAAAAAAGGTCATTAAAAGGGAAACAACACCCAAAAATGTTGACTGACAAAGACTGATGATCGGTACCAAATTTCTGCTGTGTTTTTTTTTTTCAAAGTCTGATCCATATCAAATTTGAAGGTGTGCATTACTGATAAAGTCAGGTGTGTTGAGTTCAATGATGTTGTCATGTGATAATTACAAGTTTTACCTTGGGTAAAGTG